GACTCCTACCTTCCTTTGGCTGAGTTTTCGTATAACGATAACTATCACGCTAACATTGGTATACCACCCTTTGAGCTCCTTCATGATAGGAAGTGTTGGACCCTAATTTGTTGGGGAGAGGTTGGTCAGGTGGTCATGGGGAGCATAAAGATTGTTCTCAAGACGACAGAACTTATACAGGAAGGTCAGACAGAGACTTTAGACTGCCCAGAGTCTCCAGAAGAGCTACGCCGACCGACGGCGATTTGAGTTGGAATTTCAGGTCAGGGATATGGTATTTCTGAAGGTGTCCCATTGGAAAGGCGTCATCCGATTCAGAAAGCAGGGAAGCTGGGTCGCAGGTTTGTTGGTGCATTCCAGGTAGCAGCTAGGGTAGGTTAGTGGCCTACCATTTAGATTTAACGGATGAGCTCAGTCAGATTCATTTCACCTTCCATGTGTCCTAGTTATAGAAGTGTGTGTCAGACGAGACCGCTGTAGTACCTCTAGATGATATTCAGGTTGATGACCGCCTGAATTATGTTGAGCAGCCAATAATGATTATCGATAGAAAGATGACGAATCTGTGGAACAAGTTGGTGGACTTGATGAAGGTGTAGTGACAGCACTAAAAGGGTTCAGAGTGGACTTAGGATCCTGAGTAGGAGATGCGTACCCACTATCCATGCTTTATTCGAGGCCGAAGACTTCAAGGGCAAAGTCTGATTCTAATGAGGGAGATTTGTAACACTCAAACCTACAGGTAAATTTTCCTTGAATTATTTTAAGAATTTCTTTGTATTTTGAGTCCAATGCAGGGCGTAGGATAGCCTCCTACACTCAGCGTAGAAGAAAGACTCATAACGGGCATTTCATGGCTTACGCTGGGCGTAAGACCAGCTATGTAGTGCGTAATGCGTAAAATCTTAAACCCTAATTTCGGGGTTGTGAGCCTATTTAAAGGCTATAAACCTCTTGAGGGCCTTTTCATACCCAGTCTCCATCCTCCCATCCTATCCCTTCGAAACCTTAATCATTTGTGAGAGATCTTTGAGGTTTAAAGTGTTTGTGTGTGTACTCCTTGAAGAAAAACACCCTTGGAGAAGCATCTAAGAGTTCCAGGCCTTATAGATCCAGATCTTTCATCTTCTTGTCCACCTCCTGGAGGTACAAAGTTTCCATCTTTGCAATCTCTCATGCTAGATCTAGTTAGTTATGCATTTTGTATGTTTTTGTCTCATAACCTTGGATCTTATGAGTATGATCTACTCCAAACAACTTGATGATCATTTCTTGTTGTTTTGGGGTTTCTGAATCATAAAGTTGAGAGCTTAATCACCCCCATCTACCCCATGCACGATATCATGAGATTTAGTGCATTTCATGGACTTAGGGCTTGGTTTATTGCTAATTTAGGGCATACAAATGGATAAAGTCAGAGACTTTATCCATTAAGTCGTCCCTTTGATTCATATCTGAAAGTTTGAGGAGCTAACTTTCTGTATTAAGAGCTTAATGAGATTTTTGGCGTTCAGACCAATACGTGGGGAGCAATATATGCTACGCTGGGTGTAGCTTGATTTCAGCCCGTAACCACCCAAGCTCTGTGCCATGCGTAGAGCAGCTTGTACGCATGGCATTGACCGTTGAGTTGGACCATTGTTCATTTTTGGTCAAAATTAGATTTTGAGCATAGTTTGAAATTTGTACTTTCCTTATTGATGCTTAGGTACTTATTTGTACATGTTTACCCTACGTGAGCTGTTGTATTTAGTTGCTACTTATGAGGTGAATCTTCTCACTACATTTACCTGTGTGGTATTTATGTCTAGGACCAGCTAGGTCTTATCTGTTGATTATTGTTATGTATGATTTGAACTGTATTGCTGAGAACTTTGTCATTGCTAAGAATCCCCAAGCTTATAGATAACCCTTGGAACATGTTGTTAATCCACAGGGCATACAGTTAGCCTACTGGGATTGCTAATAATCCCCAGGGTTATCGATAACCCATAGTTGTTTATTATGTTGTACTGAATAGATATTTTGGGAAGGACTCACTAAGCTTTATGCTTACAATTACGGATTAAATGTGTTTCAAGTACCTCGAATGATCGTGGGAAGGCGAATGTTTGGCTGTACGCTCCAACTTGCAGAGTTTATGTTTTTCACATTTTGGTACTATGATTTGGATGATTGTATTGATATACATGGGATTTTTGTGACTTGGTTTTATGACACTTGTGGTTTTCTATAATAAAAATGATTTTTTTTGGTAAAATCAGGATGTTATAAGTTGGTATCAGAGCCCTGGCTTAAGAGAATTGGATGAAAATTTGTGGGATTCCAAACTCAAACTAAGGATCTAAAAGTTTTATAAACCTTTTTTTACAAAAGAATGAATTTCACAGAAGGGAACGAAGGAAGCATAGTGTACAGTCAGCTGGAGCCCGAGGCAGTGATCTCCCAAACTATCTATATCCATGTTATATGTTGTATTATAGTTGTTGTTATTGAGCTGATAGAAGTGCATGCTAGGGTTTGGTTAGTATATATATATATATATATATATATATATATATATATATATAT